GCTATACGTATCTATACATCCGTATGGTTCGTAATCCAACGCTGTATGGTTTAGCGCCTGATGTCCTTGTAAATGACTTAGTCTTGGAAGAAAGAAGAGCTGACCTGGTACGTACTTTCATCTGCTTTAAACCTACTGTTCAATTTATTTGCGTGCTTTTTATCCTTCAAGTTGATTACAAATTTAGTATTCATATTCTCTTTGAAAATCTGCAAAAGTAGTTTGCATCTGATGATTTGATGCCATTTCCCTGAAATTTATTTTCATATGTTCATATTCTTTTTTTGAAAGAATGTTAAATTTTTGTTCATCCAAAAAACCTTTGTACATCAAGTGGAACCTTAATTTTTTTTTTTTACATTTAGTATCATTGCCCATAACTCTTGAGCCTCTGTCCACTATATGCCCTTGATGAACTGTTTGGATCTCTTGTGCTTATCACATTGGTTGTGAAACTCGGATTGTAGATTTCTCTTTGAGTCTCTGATAATTTTGAGTGGGAAGTGTATCAGTGGGAAGTGTATCTGATTATATAATTATGTGATGTTTGTTTGGATCACTTGTGCTTATCACATTGATTGTGAAATTCGTATTGTAGATTTCTCTGTGAGTCTCTGAGAATTTGGAGTAGGAAGTGTATCAGATGATATAATGCTGTTGCCATTTGTTTTCTATCTTTTCCCATAAATGTTGTTCCTAGTATCAGTAGCTTTCTCATTGTATGTTTTACAACTTACAAGCAATCCATGAACTGTCGGATACCTTATTTCTTTCAAGTTGATCACAGACTTAATATTTAATATATCATTGCGCTAAAGTTAATTTAAAATATCATTTATGGCCATCTGTGTCTAATATTTGACTTGAATTGTTGTTGTTGCAGATACACTCAGCTGCTACTATTTTGGACAAGAATAACTTGGTTAAGTATGACAGGAAAAGTGGATACTTCCAAGTTACTGATTTGGGACGTATTGCTAGCTACTACTATATAAGTCATGGGACTATAGCTACATACAATGAGCATCTGAAGCCAACGATGGGTGATGTTGATCTTTATCGTCTGTTCGCTCTGAGTGAGGAGTTCAAGTATGTGTCTGTTCGGCAAGATGAGAAGATGGAACTGGCCAAACTTTTAAATCGTGTCCCAATTCCGATCAAGGAAACTCTGGAGGAGCCCAGTGCAAAGATTAATGTTCTGCTACAAGCATACATTTCACAGCTGAAGCTTGAGGGTCTTTCTTTGACATCAGACATGGTTTATATAACTCAGGTTTGCTCCTTGTTCTCTCTGCTTTCTTCTCTCATCTCTCCTAGTTACATTATTACATTGCTGTATCTGTTCTCTGATGCTTACGTCTCATCTTTTATGTCATTTTCAGAGCGCTGGACGTCTTGTACGAGCTCTTTATGAAATCATATTGAAGCGAGGATGGGCTCAACTGGCTGAGAAAGCTCTGAACTTGTCTAAAATGGTTGGGAAGAGGATGTGGAGTGTCCAGACACCTCTTCGTCAGTTTCATGGAATTCCCAATGAGATTTTGATGAAGTTGGAGAAGAAGGATTTGGTGTGGGAGAGGTATTATGATCTATCCTCGCAGGAGCTTGGAGAGCTTATCCATAGTCCTAAGATGGGCAGACCGCTACGCAAGTTCATCCACCAATTCCCAAAATTGGTTCTTGCGGCACAAGTTCAGCCTATTACACGAACTGTTCTGCGGGTGGAGCTCACAATTACACCAGACTTCCAGTGGGACGAAAAAATTCATAAGTATGTTGAGCCCTTTTGGATAATTGTGGAAGACAATGACTGTGAGAAGATCCTTCATCATGAGTATTTTCGGTTGAAGAAGCAGTATATCAGTGAGGATCACACTCTAAACTTCACTGTCCCAATCTTTGAACCGCTGCCACCTCAGTATTTTGTCCGAGTGGTTTCAGACAAGTGGCTTGGCTCTCAGACTGTGTTGCCTGTATCTTTTAGTCATCTTATACTTCCAGAAAAGTACCCACCACCTACAGAGCTACTGGACTTGCAACCCCTCCCAGTCACGGCGCTTAGGAATCCGTATTATGAGAGACTCTATCAAGATTTCAAGCACTTTAATCCGGTGCAGACTCAGGTCTTTACGGTTCTGTATAACACTAATGACAATGTGTTGGTTGCTTCTCCAACAGGAAGTGGGAAGACTATATGTGCAGAGTTTGCTATACTGAAGAATCATCAAGAGGTACTCCTAAGGCAGGATGATGATACTAAAAGGCAAACTGGATCTGATGCTTCAATGCGTGTTGTCTATATTGCACCGTTAGAGGCTATTGCTAAGGAGCAGTTTCGCGTCTGGGAGAAGAAGTTTGGGAAGGGTCTTGGTTTAAGGGTTGTTGAGCTGACTGGGGAGACAGCGGTGGATCTTAAGCTGCTTGAGAAAAGTCAGATAATTATAAGTACTCCTGAGAAATGGGATTCTCTTTCCCGCAGGTGGAAACAGAGAAAACACGTTCAACACGTTAGTCTGTTCATTGTGGACGAGCTTCATCTTATTGGTGAAGGGCATCGTGGTACTGTGTTGGAGGTAATAGTCTCTAGAATGAGATATATTTCTAGTCAGGGTGATAATAAGATTAGGATTGTTGCGCTTTCCACTTCTCTTGCAAATGCGAAAGATCTTGGGGAGTGGATTGGGGCCAGTTCCCACGGCCTTTTCAACTTTCCTCCTGGAGTCCGTCCTGTTCCACTGGAGATCCACATTCAAGGAGTAGATATATCCAGTTTTGAAGCCAGGATGCAAGCAATGACCAAGCCAAGTTACGCCGCCATAGTCCAGCATGCCAAGAACAAAAAGCCGGCTATAGTTTTTGTCCCAACCCGTCAACATGTCTGCTTCACTGCTGTGGATCTGATGGCTTACTCTCACATGGACAACCCACAGAGCCCTGATTTCCTGTTAGGGAAACTAGAAGAACTTGATCATTTTATTAAGAAAATCAGCGAGGAAACATTAAAGGAGACACTGCGTCATGGTGTTGGGTACTTGCACGAGGGTTTATGCAGTCTGGATCAGGAGATCGTGACACAGCTTTTTGAAGCTGGACGGATCCAGGTTTGTGTGATGAGCAGTTCATTGTGTTGGGGCACTCCATTAACTTCACATCTGGTTGTGGTAATGGGGACGCAGTACTACGATGGAAGGGAAAATTCACACTCTGATTATGCGATCTCTGATTTGCTTCAGATGATGGGGCGTGCTAGCCGACCTTTACTTGACAATGCTGGGAAATGTGTGATATTCTGTCATGCTCCTCGTAAAGTGTATTACAAGAAGTTTCTTTATGAAGCCTTTCCCATGGAAAGTCATCTCCAGCATTTCCTGCATGATAATTTCAACGCAGAAGTGGTTACTGGGCTTATAGAGAACAAGCAAGATGCTGTGGACTATCTTACATGGACTTTTATGTACAGGAGGCTTGCCCAGAATCCTAACTACTACAATCTTCAAGGAGTTAGCCACAGACATTTGTCTGATCACCTATCAGAGCTGGTTGAGAGCACCTTGTCTGATCTTGAAGCTAGTAAATGCATTGAGGTAGAGGATGAGATGGACCTCTCTGGGCTGAACCTTGGTATGATTGCATCCTATTATTACATCAGCTACACAACCATCGAGCGTTTCAGTTCTCTTTTGTCTTCTAAAACCAAGATGAAGGGACTTCTTGGGATCTTAACATCGGCTTCAGAGTATGACATGGTCCCTATACGGCCTGGTGAAGAGGACAGAGTTCGGAGGCTCATCAATCACCAGAGGTTTTCGTTTGAAAGCCCAAACTGCAGAGATCCTCATGTGAAAGCAAACGCTCTTCTTCAGGCTCATTTCTCGAGGCAAGACATTCTTAGGAACTTGGAAATGGATCAGCGTGAGGTCCTTCTATCAGCAACCAGACTTCTTCAAGCGATGGTTGATGTGATATCGAGCAATGGCTGGCTGAATCTTGCTCTGTTAGCAATGGAAGCAAGCCAGATGGTGACTCAAGGCATGTGGGAGCGAGACTCGATGCTTTTGCAGCTCCCTCACTTCACAAAGGATTTGGCAAAGAGATGCCAGGAGAATAACATTGAAACTATATTTGATCTTGTGGAGATGGAGAATGAAGAACGCCAAGAGCTCCTTAAGATGAAGGACACTGAGCTTTTGGACATTGCCAGATTCTGCAACCGCTTCCCAAACATTGACCTTACTTACGAGGTTGTGGGCAGCGAAGATGTGACCCCAGGGAAAGATGTGACATTGCTGGTGATGCTTGAGAGAGACATGGAGGGGAGGACAGAAGTGGGAGCCGTTGATGCACCCAGGTATCCCAAGACCAAGGAAGAAGGGTGGTGGCTGGTTGTTGGGGACACAAAGACTAACCAGTTGGTGGCCATCAAGCGAGTCTCGTTGCAAAAGAAAGCCAAGGTGAAGCTGGATTTCCACGTACCAAGTGAAGCAGGAGAGAAGGCTCTCACACTCTACTTCATGTGCGACTCGTACTTGGGCTGTGACCAGGAGTACGCCTTCTCTGTTGATGTTAAAGAATCTGGCGCTGGAGATCACATGGAAGAGTGATTTTGTGTGTTTCAGGTCAGTTTATATGTTTTGAGTTCTAGTAATTTGAAAGTCAGAGAGTGATGCATGGTTTCCTTTTTCTTTTTGTAGGCGTTAAAACTGTGATCACATGGAAGAATGATTCTTGTGTTTCAGGTGTGTTTTTGTGTTTCAGTTCATGTCATTAAAAAAAACTCTGGATTTTAGTTAATTTGAACGTCAGAGAGTGACGCATGGTTTCCTTTTTCTTCGCAGGCGTTACTGGATTCTAGAGAGAGTAAGACTGTGTCTTGCATTGCAGTCTCAACTTTATGTTAATAGAGTATTATGGTATAATCTTTGTTCTGGTCTTTCTTTTATCCATTCCCATTGTCTACATTGTTAGAATGACATGGTTTAAGTACAGTGAGTACTCATTTTATGTCGTGCATCGAGTTTCAGACCAGCAAAATGTGTACAGTATTGTTTCTTTTTCTTGATGCGGACCAGCAAAACACTAAATTGAGTCATCTGATACATTTTAGTAATCTTAAATTGTATAAACTTGATGGAAGTAACGAAACACATTTATATATAATTGAAAGAGACGGTCATTCAAATAGCTCGATCTCAGCCAACAAGAACGGCGTCGGAATCGGGACATCAGACGTTACCATCACCCCACCAGGCCTAGAGAAAACACCCACCACCATCTCCCTCTACTCAAATCATCTCTCCAAACATCCAACTTAACACCCGAGGATATCGCCTGCATCTGCTACACCATGGGAGCACCATTGCAAGTCTCAGCCATTGTCGTCAGAGTACTCTCACAGCTTTGGAAGAAACCTCCAGTCGCTGTGAATCACTGTGTGGCTCATATTGAATGGGGAGAGTGGTTACTGGACCTGATGATCCTCTTGTGTTGTATGTGAGTGGTGGCAACACTCAGGTGATTGCTTATAGTGAAGGTAGGTATACGACCTTTGGTGAGACTCTAATGATCCAAGTCCTGGTTATAATATTTGAAAAAATTCAAAAACCTTTTCAAGATTGATGTATGCTGATTGTTTCTTGTTTGTGTTTGTCTATAGCTTTGCTAAGAAAAGAGGGAAGTTTATTGATCTTGCCTATGCTGTTAAAGGTATGGATGTGTCATTCCACTGAGGAGAAGCTCAAGAGTAACGACTAGTGTACACCAGCAGACTTGTGTTACTCACTTCAGGTGACGTTTTCTATGTTGGTTTGAGAGTCTACCTTTACGCAGCAGTTTCGTACGGACGAGGTTCATGCTGTGTGGCGAGAGAAGGAAGAGAGTCGTTGATCTGATTACTTGGTTAGTAGCAGCTAAGAAGAGGCTACTAATGTAGCATATACCATTATCATAAAACCCTCAAATCATGTCATCATACAGTTACAATAACGATGCAACTAAGTAAAGTGAATAATAGTGTCTGGTCACATTCACTAAAGCCAATTAGAAACCAGATATGGTAGTCCTGAGATTAGATTCTGCCCTGTCCTCTTACATTCATTGTAGCCTTCCTTCTTCTGGATGACTCTGCTCTTTCACGGGAAGGGTTTGGATCAGTTGACGGCAGCAACATTGGTTGCTCTCTGTAGTTACTGCCAAAGGAACCAGACCGACCTGGTAGTTGCATTCTAGCGTTTCCACTCCAAGACTGTTCAAAATCAGCTAATTCATCTGCAGAATGTTGCAATTGAAAAGCAAGAAACAAAAGACATGGGTTATTTATATGGTTATCTGAACGTCATCCACAACACAATCTTTCTGAAGCTTAACGAGAAAAGTTGTTAATTACCTTCGTTTAAATTGTGCAAGGTCTGCGTTGTATCAACTCGACCATCTGAGTTAAGTTTACGCGCAACCGTGTGGCCCTGCAATGAATAAAGCATCAGTTATATTGATCCAACAACAGAGGAAAACTGACCTTATGTATAAACTTACCTTGTTGTGAAGGCCTCTTGAGATTCTGTGAGCTGCTTCACGTGTTGCAGTATTGGCTTCTTTGCTTTCTTCAAGAGTTAACTGTGTTCACAATAAGACCAGTTTAAGTAAGTAATTAAGCATAAAAGCACAAATGCGTTTATAATAAAGTGTTACAACTAACCCCATCACTTCCTGTCCTTCTGGTCTTTGATGAAGTATAGTAGTTTCCGTCATGACCACCGTATGTAATAGTCGAGCTCTGGAAACTATAACTATGAGTCTGTGGTTGCCATTGTCCATTATTTTGCATTCGTCTGTTCCTTCTTTCTATGGAACATATACACAAATTCAGTTACAAAGAAACAAAACAATCTCAAGAAAAAAAAGAAGAAATTACCTTCAGCTCTAGCTTCTTCAGTATCCACTTCACTGCTTGACCTGCCATGTTTCCCTAGGCTTACTCTCTTCTCTTTGTCTCCTTCTCTGTCTTCTTTCTCATCATCTGATTCAATCTCTTCAATAATCGGTCCACTAGACCTTCTTCTCCTTTGTTGTGATTCATGATGATTCTCTATGAAACCAGAGGGAGAACGCATTGGTGCAAAAGGATCCATGTTAGTAGGACCAAAGAAGCTGGACTGAAAGATGCCACCACCAAAAGGCTGAGTGAAAAAAGGGTCATCAAAAGGATCTCTTCCTCCGAAGAAACTAGACATGAGACTCCGAGGACCATTGTTAAATCCACCAAAGGAGCTTCCAAAAGAGCCACCAAAAGGAGCACCCAAGTTGAAAGGATCTCTACCACCTCCTTGCATCTTCTTCCCTGTCTACTACACACTTCATATATGAGTAAAGAAACCTTAAATGCAAAATCATTTGTATGTAAATTTGATGTCTTTAAACACACAAAGATAGCTTCAGGACATTTGTATGCAAATCATTTTATTTTTTGCTCAAAAAAAAAGATAGTTTCAGAACAAAATAAAAGTGAAACCCATATCGAAACTTGACCACCCAAACATCACCAGTCCGAAGAAATAGCTCACAAAAGTTAACGATCGGTATAACGAAAGAACCCTAACAAGAAAAACTAAATCAAACAGCAAAATATCTGTCAAATTGAAGAAAAGAGATCAAAGTTCATACCTTTCAACAAAAAATGATCGGTACACTCGGGAGATTGTTCCAAACTGAGAATTTCCTCAACCCTTTTCTGTTTTTTATTCTTTCTCCGGCAGAAAATTGAAAAGAAGGTTCTCGAGATGTTTCTTTAACAGAAGTCGCAACGTGATTGGCTGATGATGGTTACACGCTCCGTACAGTGAACACCGCTTAAGTATTTATATATTTTATTTAAATCAGATTTTGACCCCCCCCCCAAAAAAGAAGGAAGTTAATTATTTTTTTTTCATCAAGTTGTTTTATAAATGGGTCTAAGCACAATCAAATCATACAATAAAACCAAACAAAAGCCCAAACATACGGTCCAACACAAAACCCAACACCAAGAGATCCTAAGGAAACTCTAATCTGTGCAGTACCTCCAAACCCGACGGCGGAGAAAACGGAGTGAACCACTTTAACTTCAGATCTCGCCGGAATCAAACCACCACATCCATAATCCCCACCTTCACTCTTTCCCATCGGAGAGCATCCATCGAGATCTCATCCGATTCCAAGCCAACATGCCCACCACACACCAACACAGATCCACGAGAACATCCAAACAATTCAAAGCCTACGATCGAAACTTCATCTCCGACATAATGACGCGGTATCAGATGAAAGTTTAAGAGGCTGAATAACTATGAAGCACGGACTCAGAGATCGAAAAGAACAAGAGAACGTCACTGGAACCCAAAGAAACAAAACCGTAAAAAACGATACTAAAAAGGCTACCACCTCCCGAGAACGCGAGCCGACAATAGCGGTGCTGAAGGAGCCACCGCCTCCCGGGAACAAGAGCTGACGATAGCAAAGCTGTAGGAGCCTCCACTTCCCAGAGTCAAAGCCGGCGGCGACGGAGCTGTGGAAACCTCCACCTCCTGGAGTTTAAGAACCAAAAAACTTGCAAAACTAAAAAGATAAAAGGAAAGGCTGAACAAAGGAGAAGCCAGGCCGACGGTGGCTATGGATGCCCATTCCATCGGCTGGCGGCGCTATTCACGACTGAGATTTAGTGAGAAGACAAAGCTTTATCTCTCTAGAGTTAATTCAAACACCACGAATTTTAGAACTTATTGTGAAAACCATACAAATATTTTTTTATTACTATCTTTTTTTTAATATCCAGCGTGCCTTTTTTACACTGTGAGAAAAAATGTATTTACAAGAATGCCATTAATTTTTATTGCCACGTAGGCAAAAATTTGACTCCACGTTAGAATGCGGCATGAAACTCAGCCGGAAAGACGGAACGGAAGAAAAAGGTAATAGATTATACAGTTTCAGCTCAGAAGCAACAATCTCAAAAGTTGAATCTAGATACGATGGTTTTAGTTTGGAGGAGGAACACGACGACAATGCGAATAACTTCTCTAGTATCTTGGACAGAGAAAAATAGAAAGATGTTGGAGAAGATGAAGATGGCGAAGAAGACAGTGAATTAGAAAGCCGATTGATATGTTCGACGACTCAGATGGTGTGTCATCCGAAGATGATAACTTTAGCTCATACGATGAGTCTCCAGCACAAGATGAAGATTCACTAACACTACCGCATAAAAAGAGTTCTCAGACGACTGGAACTTCTTACAGTTGGAGCAGATCTAAAGGGGATTCGGAGGTTCTAAGGTTGGAGATGTCTTCGCTAAACCTTGTTGTTGGATAACGATATGAGAGTAAAGCTGAGTTGGAAAGACGACTAAAACTTCTTACAGTGAGAGATCGATTTGATTTTGATGTGGAAGTATCCAATCCAGATTTACTCGTTGTTAAATGTTGGAGAGTTCGTGCTTCAACACAAGGGGATTACCCGATATTCTATGTTCGTATTTACGATACGGAACATACATGCTCTGTAACTGAGGGTTCTAATCGACCTCGACAAGCAACACCATATATTTTAGGACAATTGTACAGGGACTTTCTCTGCGACGTTGGTCCGGCTGTTCGACCTACGAGTGTCAGAATAGCTCTCAATAAACAGTTTGGTCTCAAGGTAATTATTTTAATAAGGCTGACTTATATCAACGTTACAACTAAGTTATATATACACTTTATGGCTGACATATTAACATTTGGATGGGTTAGTTAAGTGATTGGTTGAGTTATATAAACTTCGAACGATGCGGCTGAGTTAGCTAATTTATTGGGCTGGGTTATATCAACTTTGAATGATGCAGCTGAGTTAGATAAGCTATTTGGCTGGGTTATTTAAATTCAACGTTTTGGCTGATTTAGTTAAGTTATTGGGCTGGGTTATTTATATGTTACGGCTGAGTTAGTTAAGTTATCCGACTGAGTTATTTATACGTTCTGGCTGAGTTATTAATACGTTGCGACTGACCTTATTTGTATTCATTTGGACAGATGGATTATTGGAAATCATATAAGATTCTGAAATTTACAAGGAAAATCGATGAGAGAACACCTGAGAGTGGGTTTGGAAACTTGCATTCTTACTTATACATGATAAGAAGAGCAAATCCGATATAATAACTCGTCTTCAAATCCGATACAATAACTCGTCTTCAAATAGATTTCATAAGTCAGTCGTATCATTTAATAAATCAGCCTAATTAGATTTCATAACTCAGCCTCTAATTTTTTTCATTGTTTATTTATAATAAGGTCTTGTTACTTTCGCGAGACTGTTGACTGTACAAAGGATCGATTCTCATCACACTGAAGTTACATATGGTGAGTCTTTGAAAGTTGTTAACTTGGAAGGGAGGAAGTGCACATGCCGGCGTTTCGAACTTGAGAGATTACCATGTTCGCAGGCAATTGCAGCTGCGGAGTCCAGGAATGTTTGTCGTATATCCATGTGCAGTTCTTACTATACCAGCGCTTATTTTGTGAGCGCATATGCTCATTCAGTCATGCCGGTTGATTTAGCGCAACCAGTTCCAGATAACGTGGTTAAGCTACCACGCTTTCCCCCGTCTATTCGTCTTCAGTTAGGAAGGCCTTAGAAAAATAAGATGAAATATGATTTAGAGGTTGCACTTGAAAACAAACGTCCTAAGAAAGAACACACATGTTCTCGTTGTAGACAAAGTGGTCATAATGTGAAAACTTGTCCGATTTAAAAGTGTCGTATTGATTTCAATTATGTAGATTATTGGTTGTATTGCAGCTGAGTTATCGATTTTAATGTTTTTAATTACGGCTGAGTTATTGACATGTCAGGGCTGAGTTATACACTACAAGAAAACTCGTCCATTACTAGGACGGGTTTTCCTCGTTATTTCCTAGTTAATGGCCTTTTACTAGGAAATAAAGAGGAAACGCGTTTCCTCGAAACACGTTCATCGTAAAGTCATTTTCCTCGTCAAGTCCTAGCGAATTTACGAGGAAATGTTTCCTCGTAAAGGCGTGGTTATATTTTCCTCGTAAGGTCCTCGTACGCTTTCCTCATAAGCTCGTAGTAAGTTTTTCCTCGTAAGATCGTAGTAATAGATTACGAGGAAATTACTAGAACAAGTTACGAGGACATTACTTGGAATCCTTTATGAGGATTTTGCTTCGTAATGTTTTTTTCCCTATTAAAAAAAATAATTATAAATAATTATTTTAGTTTTTAAATATTAAAAAAAAAATCAAATTAGAAATAAAAAATAAAAAACAAAATATTTTATAAATAACTAAATAATATACAAAAAAAAATTCAATTCATAATATACAATTAAAAATAAAAAAAACTACGGATGCTGGTCGTGAAATTGCTGAACGAATTGGTCGTCGTCCTGGCTCGGCAAATCCTCTCCATAGTTGGGTGCCGGCTATGACTGTGATGGTGGATGCTGTTGGGTTGGAATCCCTCCACGTTCCCGTCTCTGACGCAACATCTCCTGCACATGCGGGTTTCCAACCGCCATAATGTCGAGGACATCAGTGAGAGAAGTCACATGCTCGGTGAGCGAAGTCACATGAGACTGCGTCGCCTGCAACTCCGAGCGCAGCTGAGCATTGACATCGTGCTGCTCCTGATGATAAGACGATGTCGCTGCAGGAACATCGTTAACCGAACCAATCTCGATGATACACCCCTTTTTCCTAGGGGCGACCTGGAAATAAAAATATTAATAACATTAAGAAAAAATTTAAAAAATATTAAAAATTAATAGTAAAATAAATTATTTACCTCCTCGTAAATCTTATCCACATCAACAGTGGATAATATGACTGGAGTCCCAGTCTGCTGAGTCAGATGGGTCTGGCGTTCGTCAACTCGGGCAACAAGCTCGTTGTAGATCCGCTCGGAAGCAGGATCTACAAACTGCCCAGCCTTGTTCTGGTGGGTCCTCTCATAAAGGTCTTTTAGAGGTGGAAGAACTCGTGTCTCCTTAGCCTAAAATTAATTTATAAATTAAATATTAATTTGAAATATTCAAATAAAATAAAAATTAAATTGTTATTAAAAACCCTCTTACCATGTCTAGACGAACTCCCCCGTGAGGTTTTCGACCCGTGGTGTGAAGCACCTTCGTGTTGCCATGCTCGTCTTTGGTCATGCGGTTCCCGGAGTTGATGTTGGAGGTTCTGACTGAGTCCGGCAACCCCCAATAGCTGATGATGCCAACCCACACTGTGGTTGTGAGGCAATCGGTTTTCCCGGCCTCGTAACCATCCACCTGATTTAAAAAAAAAAAGTTAGAATTAAAGTCAATATATATATATAATATTTTTAAAACTATATATATATATTATAATTTATAAATCTATACCTGATAGTCGCTCTTCCAGTTGTAGACCATGTCGAGCAATCGTGTTCTTGCCCTGGCCTCAAACTCCTTCTTCACTCGCTGGTGAATCCCAATAGACCAACGATACTTTTGCTATAACCAGAAAAAATAAAAGACAGATTAGTTCAATAATATTAATAAATTTAAATAATTAAAAATAAATTAACGAATTAAACTTACAGCGAACAATTTGAACCACGTCTTTTTTGTGTGGTTCGCCGTCATCTTCCAGTTTGGAGCTGGATCGGGAAAGTATTCCTTGATACAGTCCGTGACGCTAGATCCGACACAATTGTCAGGACCAAACCTGGAAAGACACAAAATAAATCATTAATTAGATTTATTTCTAAATATTTTGTTAATTAAGAAATAAATTAAAAAACTTTTTA